TCCTGCTCGAGGAGCCCCTTGGCAAAGGCGACCTCTCCGCGGGGGGTGCCGCCGTTGACCTGGATCTCCATGATGTGGGCCCTCTTCTGGCGCAGGTTGAGCACGTCAATCTTGGTGTGGGCAATGACGCGGATGACGGTGCAGTACTTGGCCAGGCGGCGCAGCTGGTCCTCAAAGTTCTTCTTGCCCTCCTCGGTCTTGAGGCGCGCAAAGTACTTGGAGAACTGCTTCTTCTTGCTCTTGACGTAGTTCTTGTAGAAGCGGCGCATGCACGTCTCGGACATGTTGCCGGCGAAGACGGTGGTGAGCTGGCGCAGGCCGCGCGGGGTCTCGACGTAGCCGACGATGCCGACGCCGACCATGGGCGGGGTCTCGACAACGGTCACGGCCTCGACGACCTCCTTCTTGTGCGCCTTGGAGCCTGTGCGGTCCATCTCGCGCACAATGTGGGTCATGCCGGCCTTGTAGCCGATGAAGGCCGTCAGGTGGGGCTTGTCCTCCTTGTTGTCGCGCGGGAAGGAGCGGACGCGGCCGCGATGATGCTTCGTGCGCTTCTTCGGCAGGAAGCCGAGAGAACCGTGGCGGGGCGCGCGGAACTTGCGGTGGGACCTGTGGCGGTGTGTTTGAGTGAGGCGTAGTGGTTGTGAGTGGTTGTGAGTGGGTGTGCATGTGAGAGTGGTTGTGTGTGTGTGTGTGAGTGCATGTGAGTGGTTGTGTGTTGTACGTGTGTGTTGTGGTGTGGTGTTGTACGTGTGTGTGTGTGAGTATGTTGTGTACATGTGCATGTCACTCGTGCAAGCAAGAAGGCAGTCCAAGATCAGCAGGGCCACGGCGACACAACCCCCTTCTTGATGGCACCAGTGAACAACCCACAACAACCACAACTCACATTGTGTCTCTTGTGTGTGTGAGAGGGATCAGGGGCAGCAGGATGAGCAGCTGGCAGAAGGGTGAATGAATACAGCAGCCTTTTGCTGCTTGAACACGAGGCAGTGCACACGGATCCCCACTGGGAGACGCATTAGGCGAGCGAACGGTGGATACTGAGGTACGAGAGGAAAATTGGAGCAAATCATCACCTAACAATCCACATACTGTGGATGATTATATGAAAATGTCGCAGATTTGCCGCAATACATAGAACCATCATAACTCTCGCCCAGCAGCCACAAGAACAGCAGCAGCAGCAGCGGGTGCGCGTGTGAGTGTGCCTTTTTCCACGCGAACACCGTGAATCCCACTTTCCGTCGCCTTTGATCCACACAGACCTTCAACACCTCGGTTAAATCGTTCCCATCCACACATCTAACGCAGAGATGAGTTCGTCCGAGCTGGCTTGTGTGTACGCCTCCCTCATCCTCGCGGATGACGGCATTGAGATCACGGTGCGTGGGGAAGACAAAAAGCAGACTCGTGTGAACAGTGTGCGCGGCGGTCGTGTGCGACTTGTGCTCATATCGAGTGGTGGTTGTGGTGACTGCTGGTGGCTGCAGTCGCACGTGCCCAATGTTGCTTGATTGATGATAGCTGTGGTGGGCTGCACACACACTGAACCCGCTTCCATGTGGTTGTTTGTGTGTGTGTGTGTTTGCTTGGCGCCTTTGCTGTGTTGTTTTGCATGGATGCAAACAAGCCTCACACCACAACCCACGACTGTGCACAACCCATGTCTGCTGTGCCTTGCACTCACACATGTGGTATCTCGCTCGCTCCTTGTTGATGGACGTGTCCTGTTTGCTTTACACTTTCTTTTTGTGTGTGTGTGTGTGCAGGCTGACAAGATCGCCACCCTCATTGACACCGCCAACGTCGGTACGTACTCAGCCTCTTTCACGGCACGTGTGTGAGCAACCTCACTCCCTCTTGCAGTGCTTGTTTGCTCGTCTATGCCTGGCCTCGCCTTCTCTCACCCTGTCTCTCTACCTCTCCTACGTCCATTGCTGCACACATGCTCACACACACGAACGCCACCATTTCTTCACGTGCTTAACATTGACTGACACCAATGCAGAGGTTGAGAAGTACTGGCCCAGCCTCTTCGCCAAGGCTCTTGAGGGCAAGGACGTCAAGGACATCATCTCCAACATTGGCTCTGCCTCTGGCCCCGCCGTCGCCGCCCCTGCCGCCACCGGTGGTGCTGCCGAGGAGTCCAAGGTGCGTGGTTGTGTGTGTCTATTTTGAGGGAATGTTTCGTGATGGCGCTGTGTGCGGCAAGGGTATGTGCACTTGACGCCTACATGTTTCTGCACGTGGCTGCCGAGGCCATGGTCGACTTGAGTTGTTTCCCGCCTTTTGTCACTCGCATGTGCTCACCCACGATGCTCTTGTTGCTGTTTGATGCAATTCCAGGAGGAGGAGAAGGAGCCCGAGCCCGAGGAGGAGTCTGACGACGACATGGACGGCTTCTCGCTCTTCGACTAAGCATCCACCCCTCTTTGTCTGTTGTCCCTCTCTCTGTTCCCTGTGGCTGAGCTCTCCTTGCTGGTTCCCTTTGTTGTTGTGCCGTCCGCGGCGAGCCCACACCATGTGTGACTCGCGCGCGTCTGTCATCGCATAAACGAGCCAAGGAGGTGTCAAACGAATGCCACAAGTCACAACAAGCAAGCTGCTGCTTTCTGCGAGAGTGTGAGAGAGACAGAAAAGAGAGAGCGAAGTGAGTCAGAAGAACACACACACTTTGCACAAAAACAAAAGGAATTGAAAGACAACGACGACGATGAGTGATGAGGAAGACGATCCAACCAAGGTGTACCCTTGGCAGAAAGGGACGCCAGCGGAAGTGAAGGTGGCCATTGAGAAGAGGAGACAGCAGCTGCTGGCCTGCGATCTCGCCTCCAACCCAGAGGCACAACGAGTGCGTCTATATGTGTGTCTGTGATGGTGTGTGTCTGTGTGTCTGTATGTGTGTGTCTGTGTGTGTCTGTCTGTCTGTATGTGTGTGTGTCTGTCTGTGCGTCTATGTGTGTCTGTGATGGTGTGTCTGTCTGTGTGTCTGTGTGTCTGTGATGGTGTGTCTGTCTGTGTGTCTGTCTGCCTATGCGTTGATTTGCCTCGTCTGTCTGTCTGTTTGCCTGTCGATCTGTACCTCCCCCGATGCCCCCTCTGCACCACCCACCCACCTCCGCCTCTGCACCACTACCTCTGCCTCGGCTTGCACATGAGATGCTCTGCGTCAACTGATCTTGATCACGCCGCACGCTCCACCCAGGAATGGATCGTGCTCCTGCAAGAGCGCAATGTATTTGCGGTCACGGAGCTTGAAGAGTCCAAGGAGCAACGCAAGCAAGAGCAAATGGAGCAGCACATGCCACCACTCTGCGGGTATGCGCTTTGTACGAGTGTGGCTACGCCTGTGCCTGCGGCTCTGTGCGTGTGCCTGTGCCTGTGCCTGTGTGTTGTGTGTGTCTGTGTCTGTGTGTGTCTGTGTCTGTGTGTGTCTGTGTCTGTGTCTGCAGCTGTGTGTCTGCAGCTGTGTGTCTGCAGCTCTGTGTGTGTGTGTGTCTGCAACTGTGTGTGTCTGCAGCTGTTTGTGGTCTGCAGCTGTGTGCTATGTGTATCCTCTTCCCTCCCCTCTGTCCCCCCTCTCTCTGTGTGTGCTGCGTAGCTTGTACCACCATCTTGCGTGCATTCGTGATCCCCTGATTGTGTGCCATGCACTCAACGCAAACACATACACACGCACACGCATGCATGAGTAGGTGGCTGCTGAAACGCAACAGCAAGTTCCCGTTCACGTTCCGGAGAAGATGGTTCGTGTACGACGACAACGCCGGCCTCCTCCTCTACTACCGCGACACGAGTACAAACAAGAAGCCAATGGGGTGCGTATGCTCTCATCGCCTCACAACTACTTCCAACACTCTCTCAATGCGCTTCTCCTCCCGTGTCCTGCACCCGTCCTGCCCCAAGCCCGTTGTTGACCCACGCGCACAATCAGGCACCTCTCAACGCCCTGCCACACGCATACCCGTGCCTGTTCCGCCTTTTCAGCTTTCTTGACCTTGGAGAGTTGGACACGATCCGAAGTGAGGACGCGACTGGGCGCAGGTTCAAGCTCGTCACCCCATCCCGCGAATGGCAGCTCATGGCTGGGGTGAGCGCGTGTTGTTGTACACTGTCCTGTGCCAGCTGAGACCGCTCCCCCCCCTTCACGTGAACACTCATGCACTGACTACCGCGTGCTTGCTCGTGCATGTTGTGCGTGTGTGCGTGTGTGCGTGTGTGTGCAGGATGCAGCGGTGGCTACTGCATGGATGTCTGAGATTCGTGATCGACAGGCAAGCCTGAAGGAGAAGCGTAGCGCGGGTAAGGCACATGTGTGTGATACGCGATTGTGCGTGTCTGTCTGTCTGTCTGTCTGTCTGTTTGTGGTTGACAGTTTGGACCTGTTGGCTTATCTGATTCACGTTGCTTACTGTGATATCTACTTGTTCACGGCTGAAACACAACACCAACCCCGGCAATGCATCTGTGTATACCTGCAGCGTTCACATCAGCACCGACAATCGACTACGAAGGTGCGCGTTCCCCATCAAACTGCCAGCACCTCGCGTGCTTTCCTCGTTCTCGCTCTCCACTCACAATCCACGTGGTATCTCTCTCTCTCTCTCTGTCTCTCTCTCTCTCTCTCTCTCTCTCTCTGTCTCTCTCTCTCTCTCTCTCTCTCTCTCTCTCTCTCTCTCTCTCTCTCTCTCTCTGTCTCTCTCTGTCTCTCTCTCTCTCTCTCTCTCTCTCTCTCTCTCTCTGTCTCTCTCTCTGTCTCTCTCTCTCTCTCTCTCTCTCTGTCTCTCTCTCTCTCTCTCTCTCTCTCTCTCTCTCTCTCTCTCTCTCTCTCTCTCTCTCTCTGTCTCTCTCTCTCTCTCTCTCTCTGTCTCTCTCTCTCTCTCTCTCTCTCTCTCTCTCTCTCTCTCTCTCTCTCTCTCTCTCTCTCTCTCTCTCTCTCTCTCTCTCTCTCTCTGTCTCTCTCTCTCTCTCTCTCTCTCTCTCTCTCTCTCTCTCTCTCTCTCTCTCTCTCTGTGTGTGTGTGTGTGTGTGCGCAGAGGAGGAAGACGATGAGGATGAGGAGCAAGTTGTTGAATACGATGATGCTGGGCTTCTCTTCCGAACAAGTGACAAGGTGTGCCGATTGCCTGCGTGTGTGCTTGCACCTGTATGGTTGCTGTTTTGCTTGTTTCCGACTTAGTTACTTGCTTGCGCGTATGCACTCGTGTATTCACCTGCGATGGTGTGCATCACACATCCTCATATGCACACACACAAGACGACGTTTGAGATTATCGAACACATGGAGGCTGCGTCCTCCACGAACGCGTCCAGAAGCCACGCGTTTGGCTCGGAGGTGCGCACACACAGACACACAGACACACACACACACACAGACACACACAGACACACACACACACACACACACACACACACACACACACACACACACACGCACGCACGCACGCACGCACGCACACACACACACACACACAACACATTGTGTGCGAGCGTGTAAGGAGAAGCCTGTCTGCCGTGTGTGCATTCCCGAACACTGTTTTCACGGTCACATATCCACATATGTGTATGTATGTGTAAATGCATATTTTAGGCGGCGACGACTGCGCCAACGCCCGAAGACGACACATCGGAGACATCATCCCAGCACCAACAGCAGCAGCAGCAGCAGCAGGCGATGGCGGACCACATGAGCGAGGAGCGAGCAAAGCTCTACCGCGAACTTGCGCTGAGACAGCAGGCCCTCAAGTCTGAGGTTGGTCGAACAGCTGTCAGAGAGAGAGAGAGTGTGTGTGTGTGTGTGTGTGTGCGCGCGCGCACACGCGCGCGTGTGTGTGCACACGTGTGTGCGTGTGTGTTGCTTGTTTTTTGTCGCACAGCTGCCTCATTCCTTCCCTTCATCCACGACCTCACCACCCTACCGCCACCGCTGCGCACTCCAGAACGCGTCGCTACGCGAGACGACAACGTACCTGCAGCGAGATTTGGTGTCGCAGGCGCAGGAGTTGCAGCTCAAAGACCAGGCCATCC